AAACGTTTGAGCCGATTCCAAATTCAATTTTTCAAGTTATGGCCACTTTTTAAAAATCACCAAAATTCTGAAAATACCCAAGGCTATTATATAGCCCATGGTTAAAAAAAATGGCTCCAAAATCACCCCCAATTTTATTACATTTTTTGATACACATTGATGTCTTTATGCTATGTAAAAAGTTTGAGCCAATTCCGACTTAAATTTTTCAAGTTTTGGCCATTTTAAAAATATGCCATTTTCTGAAAAATACCCAAGGCTATAGCCCATGGTAAAATGGCTCCAAAATCACCACCAATTTTTATTACATTTTTTGATACATATTGATGTCGAGTTATATGGCTTTTTTAGAAAGTAGCAAGACTATTATAATTAAAAATGTAAACAATTGATGTGCATATCAATACCATAGGACTGATGCTATCATTCAGCAAGTGATACGTGAGCAATTCACCGAATGTACCATACTTACCATTGCTCATAGATTAGATACAGTTATGGACTTTGACAGGATAATGGTATTACTAATAGTAATGATACATAAAGTATATGTACATATAACATGTCTACATAGGTACTGAGCTCTGGTGAACTTATAGAATTTGATGAGCCTCATATGCTCCTCAATCAGTCGTCATCTTATCTCAGTAAACTGGTAGAACAAACTGGACCAGCCAATGCTGAAAGACTTAGGAATATGGCAATGGAGTCTTATTGTAAGAGACACAACAACTGATTAACATAATGATTGGTTTAATTGGCACATTCTTAGAATAGCGGGCATTTTCTTACAATTCAATGTTATTTTTAATTTACTACTAATGTTCTAAGTTCTACTAACAGTGTAGTAGTGGGGTGATGCCAAGTAATGATGATAACACTCATTCAATTGAAGCTATCAGTTTGTACATGGTCAGTCATGATGACTCAGTATTATTGTAATATTATTAATTTTGCCAAGTTAACTTAGGTGTACTCAACCTTAATAAGGCAGTGCTGTTACTCTGTGAGAAAGCTAATTGTTTAGTTTCTTTTACGATCTGTTAGTACCAATATCAATACAAACACGTCTCCTTATATGTGGAAAGCATTGAGAGAATTGTGTACTGTACTGGAACAGGAAGTGGGAGAGCGAATTGTAAACAATATTAGAGTGACTAAGAGGGTGAGTGAAATTATGACAAACAGAGTCATTGCATAACCAACTTGGCTCACTGCCAAGGGAACAAGTGCATGTCATTATCCTCCATATATGTGTGATCGTATGACTGGTGCGTGTCACTATTAACAAGTTATGCTAGCACGTTTGACCATAGTAACACTTAAGGGTAGACATAACATGTTTAAGCATTAACTGATAGCTGTTAAGAGAATATCACGTGCTGACTGCTGCTTGGACATGACAATTGTAAGAGTTTATTCATGCATCACAAAGGTAATGCAGCTAGAAATAATGGTAAACATAACGTGGGACTTTATTGTAATGTCCAAGGACTAAGGAGTAGCTAGGGCAATGAGCTATTTTGACAAAGAACAGCTTC